AAACTACTGAACACAGCATGGTTCCCTTCCTTCCATAATCTGTACACACTGCTAATTACTTAGGGAGAAGGGAACAAGGCAGTTTACACTGTCATTCCTACTTCGTTAGTGAGTAGTTATCAGTAGTTCATTTTCAAGTAGTTTATTATAAAATTTTTCCTTAACTGTGATGGTTGCTAAATCTTAATAGCCATTTGGGAGTACTTCTACCGTAGGATGAAGTGATGCTTTGAGTCAGAAAGTGTGATTTCTACCTGGCCATTTTGGTCTCCTTATTCCACAGAATAACCAGGAAATAAATTATAATAGCTGGAGCAACCAGGGCAGGTATGTCAAGATGGTGTCATGGAGGTCCGAAGAAGTTCATTTCTTGTCTGCTCTTCATTTTCAGCATATAGTTCCTGCTGTAAGATCACAAGTCCAAATGGTGTTGGAGTTTATTTTAAGCCGTGGTGTATCAGTTTCAAACAGGAAGCGGGAGAGAAGGGTTAGGACAAAAAGAGAACACCAGCTGAAAGGAAAATGGGTGTGGATATGCAACTATCAGTCTGACCCAGCTTTCTTCACCTAGATAAATGTGTAATGGTACAAGACTTCTCCCCTTCCTAGAATAGAATTTCTTTATACTTTGACCATCTAAAACAAAGTTTTGTAATGACTAATTATTCTCAGTATTGGCTATTGAACCTAGGAAGTTGGCAGGGACTAAGCAAGCACTCTACCACTGATCCGAATCTCCAGCCCTTTTATATTTTTTGTTTTGGGACAGGGTTTCATTGAGTTGTCCAAGCTGGCCTTGAACTTTTTTAATAGCCCAAAGAGGCCTTGAATTTGTGATCTTCCTGCCTTAGACTCCCAGGCAGCTAAGATGACAGACAGGTCTCTGCCACCAAGCCTAGCTGTTATGTTACTCTTTGTCATAGTGTTTTGATTTAAATGTTACCTATTTTAATTGGTAATCAGGAGGGAAACATTTTTAAATTTTGATAATTCAGAAGTGTAAAGTATTTAATTTTCATGTGAGTTATAATTCAGTGGCAAATAGCATTTAAAAGATATTTTTTGCTCTGTGACTATCAAAAATTCCCATTTTTTATAAATAGGAAAAATTTCCAGTTTTATAAATAAAAAAATAGAAAGCATGTTGTCTTTCCAGGCTTTCTTTGTCCGTGGCTTTTTAAAGAATGCTAGGTCTGTATTTGCTTGTTTTTTTGAGTTTTTGGTGTTTTTCAATTTTTCCTTTTACAAACTTATGCGTTTAATTCTTGTCACTTTCCATGGACATGGGATTTTGAAATTTTTTTCATTTGTTCTTAGATTTAGTGGGCTTATTAAGCCAAAAAAGAAAATCTATTTACCTTTGATTTGCTAGTGGCAGTCTTTCCTGGAAAGTATTTACAAGTACAGCATGCTTTTTTTTAGTCTTTTTGAGACAGTTTCTCTGTAGCTCCAGCTGGCCAGGAACTCACTCGCTTTATAGACTAGGCTGGCCTTGAACTCATAGAGATCCCCCACCTCTGCAACCCTGAGTACTGGGACTAAAGGCATGCACCACCATGCCCGACTAAGTACAGCATTCTTTAAAATGTCAAGATGTTGAGTGTGGTGACTGCTGGAGTGAAGGGTAATTTTCCTTTGAAGATGGGTGTTAATCTTTAAAAGAAAGTTATTTTGTTTCATGATAGTAGTAGAAGCAATGTTTGTTTTTCCATTTACAGATTTTTAAAATTTTTCTTGTTATTTTTATTTTATTTTATGGCTGAGCATATTGATGGCATGTGTTAAAGTGCACCCATTTCATGCAGTTCCCTCGGAGCCAGAAGAGGGCATCGGATACCCTGGAACTGGATTTAACAAAGCTTTGTCCTCTGCAATAGCAGCCAGTGCTCTTAACCACTGACCCATCTCTCCAGCCCCCCCGCCCATTTACAGATTTATAAGTACAACTGGCATTAGAAATAATATAAACATAAGAAATGCTCATTTAATTATGTCTTAACAGTCCAACATTTATGAGCTAAAGGAGGAAATCTTGTTGAAGCATGCTCAGGAGGAATAACCAGATGATGAGGTTTAGACTGTGCTGTCAGGGAAACAGGGATGTGGGGCAGTTGTCCAATCTGTGCTCAACCGAGGCCACTGCCTAGAGACTGTGAAGTCTCTGTGGAATTTCTTCTGTTTCTCTCTTCTTAGAGAAGTGATGACTGAGCTACTCTTTTTTCCAGTATAGACAGTAATGTCTATAGTTAATCCTTGCTCTAGCCAACGTTTTGACTTCCTATAATAAATTAGTTTGGCTAGTTGTGGATTTCTTTAAATTTAGTCATTGAAAATGTGTGCTTTTGTCTGGGCTTGTTTTCTTCGACATAGGGCCCTGAAGTCCATCCATGTCTCATACCTATGTTATAGCTGTCTGACAGTCTTTTGTATGACTGTCACTCAGTCAGTTCATGGCAGTTGGTCTTTGCCGGTTTTTTTATCATTGCAGATAATTTAGTTTGGTTCATGTGAGCTCAGTGTGGGTTTCTAGTGCGTTTTCCTGTTGGTTAAGGAGAGTGGGCCTCTTCTTAAATGCGGTTATGGGTCATTGTATATGTATGTTCTATTGCTAAGTATCTAAGGCTTTTATCTGACTTTAACTTTTTGAAAATATATAGTTTTATTTTTGTGTGAAGATGCTTATTTATTGATATGAAAAGTGCTTTACAATATAACATGAAGCCAATGAAAGAGATTTTAGAAAGCAGCTACAGTGTGGTTATCTGACTTTTTATTGAAGGATAGATTTTGTTTTGTATTTTGTTTTGCTAAGGGAATGTGATGGTGACTTAGGTAGTTACAGATCATTGTTTTACAAATGGCCTTCAGATAGATGAGATAGTTTGAGCCAGTATTATTATTGTGTTTAAAAGTTCTGTAACTCGGGGGGCTGGAGAGATGACTCAGCAGTTAAGAGCACTGACTGCTCTTGCAGAGGACCTGGGTTTGATATCCAGCACCCACATGGCGGCTTCGAACCATCCTTAACTCCAGTTCCAGGGGAATCCGAAGCCCTCTTCTGACCTCCGTGGCATTGAATGACATGGGTGTACTCACACACATGCAGGCAATACACTCATACACATGAAATAAAAATAATAAATAAAATAAACAACAACAACAGCAACAAAAAGTTCTGTGACTCAGGACTGGAGAGCAAGCTCAGTGGCTAAGAGCATTGCCTGCCTTTGCAGAGGAACTGGGTTAAATTCCCAGCACCTACATGGTGGTTAACAACCATCCTCATCTCCAGTTGCAGGGGAATTGAAAGCCCTCTTCTCTCTTCTGTGGGCAGTGCATGACATGGGTGCACTTACATACATGTAGGCAATACACTCATATACATAAAATAAAAATAAATAAAAATTTAAAAATGTTCTGTAATTCATGTGTAATCACTTCTTTCTGAATAAGCAATTGAGTTTTGACAAGTATCATTCTGCTTTATGATTCTATGATTTTTACTTGAGTATCTCCTATAGGTTTAATCATACAGTTTTTGTTTTTTTGTGACTGACTTATTTTAGTTAATGTAATCATGTCAAAATTCATCCATGTTATAGCACATTTCCTTTTTTTCATATTTTATTATTTTTATTTTATGTGTATGCGTGTATTGCCTGCATGTAGGCTGTGTTGTGCAATGCCCGCGGAGGACAGAAGAGGCTGTCAGATCCCCTGGAATTGAAGTTATGGACAGTTGTTAGCTGCCATATGGGTGCTGGGATTCAAACCCGGGTCTTCTGCAAGACCAACCAGTGTGCTTAACTGCTGAGCCGTCTCTCCGGCCCCCACATTTCCTTTTTAAGATGGAGCACTGTTCCATAACAGTAATATACAGCATATATTTAGTGCTATTGTATACTTTACCATTTATCTGTCGGTGGAACCTGGGGCTGCATCTACATTTTAGCTATTTTAAGTAATGCTTCCATGAACATGGGTGTGGAAGTATGGTTTAGCCCATTTCCAGTTCTTTTGGATACATACTCAAAAGAATAATCTGGATCATATGGTAGTTCTACTTTTCATTTTCTTGACAAAGCATCCTACTGTTTCTCACAGTGGCTATACCATTTGCAGTTCCCAGAACAGTGTGCGAATTTCTCCTTGTCTTTGCTGTTATTTTCCATATGTATAGTAATTATTCTAATGTGTGTGAGCTAGTAACAGTTGCTTTCTTTTACAGAGGAATACGATGATTACCATTTTGTAATTGGTTTATAAGGTTATACTGGTATTATTTTTATGGGTTTGTTTAAGTAAAGCATTTATAAGTAAGTAAATGCTTATACAGTATAAGTAAATGCTCATACATAGATTTAAAAACAGGTTTCTTGGGCTTATGAAGACTCCAAAAGGTACACTGTGTTTTTTTTTTTTAAATATTATGGTGAGTATACTCTATCTTTTTTCCTATTTATGCTTTTGTAGTGACTTAAATATTTTATTATCTATAATGATCTCAGATCTATTTTAAGCAGAACAATAATTCCTATCACTTAACTTTGAATCTGATTTTACTAATTTACTGCTGTTCTTACCTTTTTACCTTGTTTTATGTAAAATCAGTTTGCTAATCCTGCATATTTTATATTTAGCATAGGAAAATGTATCATTTTTAGCTAGTCTTTTTAACTTGCCAGAGTGACTGACAAATGTTGGCTTGGAATAAATGCAAAACTCAATTTAAATGAGGTAGTGTATGCAGGAGGTTTATAGCACACTGTAGTGAATACAGAATGAGAACTCAGATGCTACGTGCCACAATTATTATCATTCATTTGTTAGGACTTGCCCTATAGTTAACTTGTGTTGTTCTGTATTAATGTAGTCATGTTACTATTTTCTTGGGATGAGGAAAGCACATATACCAATCGCTATGATTATAGGGCATCATTTTGGTAAGTGCAAATCTGTGTACATGCATCCCTAATGCATCCCTCTTGCTATTCCTGTAGCACTGTATTCTGTCATACTCTTCTGCGTGTTCTTCTGGATCCCTTTTGTCTACTTCTACTATGAAGAGAAGGATGAGGATGACACCAGTAAATGCACTGTAAGTTATCTCAGTGTGGAGCGCTCATGCTCGCTGAAAAGGATTGTTTTCTCATTTTTCAAAGAATGATAGGACTTCCATTTGAATTTATTTTAGCCCCTATTTAAATATCTGTGACTTAAGTAGTTTAGGGAAAATTACCTTCCTTTTGGCCTCAACTTCCTTATCTCTGTATAGAAGGGGTTAGAACACCCATCTTATGTATGTTGTGAGACATATGTGAGGTAGCTTATGTAAAGTGCTTGGAGTACTACCTGGAATGAGAATGTTATACATATACTTAAAGTACACTTCGAGAGTTAGGCATGATGGTAGATGCCTGTAATCCCAGCACTTGGGAGGTGGAGGTAGGAGGATCGCAAGTTGATAGCCATTCTGGGCTACATAGTGACATCCTATCTCAAACAAACAAAAAAACTATATATATGAAATTATGTATCTCTACTTAATGTTTACATATATAACATTACATATAAACATATTATGCTTATATGTGTTTATATACTTGTTATATATTTATATTTTATGGACCTAAATGTGTATGTGCACACATGTATAGTGCCTATCATTCTTTTAATTTGTGTGTATGTGAGTACACCCATGTCGTGCAGTGCACGGGGAGGTCAGAAGAAAGCATTGGATTCCCTTGGAGCTGGAGTTACAGACAGTTGGTAGCTGCCATGTGGGTGCTGGAAATCAAACCCTGGTCCTCTTCAAGAGCAGCCAGTGTTCTTAACCGCTGAGCCATCTCTCTAACCCGTTTTTATTATTCTTATAGCTGGTTTTGGTGAATTGGGCTAGGGATATTGTAGATTTTGACTGTTGTTTGTTTAGGGGAATATTTTATTATCTAGTCTGATAATTTGCCCCTGAATAATTATGTTTTCAGTGTAGTGCTTTTCACAAGGTGCTAACCATTACCCATTTATTTGCAAAAGTACTTAGTGTGCAATAAATTGATTATTGTTTTCTTTAAATTTTAAGGTTTTGTTGGCTCAACAACTTAAACTTTATACTCTAGAATAAAATACTTTAAATGTATTTTTGATATGAGAACATTATTATATTGTCACAATAATTTGTATGTAAAGGTTTCTAAGTGATACTTTTCCCCCTTTGGCATCTAGCAAATTAAAACGGCGCTCAAGTACACTTTGGGATTTGTTGTGATTTGCGCACTTCTTCTCTTAGTTGGGTAAGTCTTCATATTTTTACCCTGACAATGGAAATAGAATTATTTGGATAATAGTAACAAAGGGCTCATTTAGAAAAATCTAGGCAAGTTAAACAAAACACTGTGAAAAATGAACAGATCTCTTTGTATCAGCGCTGAAGAGTAGCCACAATGAATGTTTTCTCTGTGGTTCCATCTGGACATTTTTATGCTTAAATGAAGGCAGGCTACCACTCACCACTCCCTCCTTGCATGGACCCTCTGTGTTTTGGCTTTACACAATTACAATGATATTTTCTACAATTCTCGGCAATGTTCCAGTATTAACACTGTCATTAAAATATTCTGGGCGTCTCCTCAGAGTGGCGAATGCAGATTAGTCATTGTCTTTGGCTGGCCTTCTCAGGAGACAGTAGCTCATGCAGGTAGTCTAGTGCTGCTCCGTGGACGTGTGTGGTGCTCGCCCTTGGCTCATTAAAACACATTTTAAAAATAAAATCTCAGTTTTGATATCTTTTATGTTTTCCTTCAGTTGAATCTTTGTCAGTGAGTTCCTTCTAAATCCTTCTTTCTTACGTTTGTAGTAATGCCAATAAAGTTTTACATGTTTATTAATACATCTGAAATCTGCCTTTTTTGTTGGCATTTATTTTTATTAAAATAGATACATATTCTTTTCTTTTTTTCTTGTTTTGTTCTGTTCTGTTTTGTTTTGTTTTGTTGTCTTGTTATTTTGAGACAGGAAAAAAGCTGGCCTGGAACTCGCTGTGTAGACCAGGCTGGTCTTGATCTCACAGAGATCCACCTGCCTCTGCCTCCCGAGTGCTGGAGTTAAAGGTATGTGCTGCCAGCCCGATGATTCTTTCAATTTTTTTGATGTTAGGATATGTATTAGGTAATAATAGGCTTGTAATAATTTTTGTTCATAATTAATTTGGTGTTTTAAATTTCAAAATAACTTTCAATCAATTAAAAACTCATTAGCTATAGTTTTGGTGGGAATAAAATCGATCTCTTGCCATTCCGGAGGTTCTTGTAGTACGCGTGGCTCTTGGAGTACTTGTGGCTCTTAGTCTGCTCCTTTTTCCAGTTTCCATTGCCTGCCTTGTTTATTGTACAAGGCACTTATTGAAAGGGCTTATTTTTAGTGGTTTTGTTGTTTATTTTAGCTAGAGAATATATTTGTAAAAAAACCCTTTGCAGCTTATACTACAGAGTGTGTTCTAGGCCAGCCTGGGCTGCAGAGCCAGACCTGTCTCAACCAAACAAAACAAAATGAAAGGAATGAAAGGCTTTGGAGATTGATGGTTTGAGAAGACAACTCTAGGAGGACTAAAGAGAAGCTTCAGTAAAGCTAAGAAGCCCAGTTGGTACAAATGCCTTTAATCCTATGCCTCTCGAGGCAGAGGCAAGAAGATCATGAGTTGAAGGCTATTCTGATTACATAGTGAGTTCTATGCCAGCCTGAATTACATAGCAAGACCTGTGTCAAACAACAACAAAGCCCTTTGTGACCTTCTCAGCTGGTAGAGAACCTTGCCTGACCTGGGCTCCATTCCATCTCCTTATCTCTTTATTGGTGAGACTGTTCCTTGTAAGCCCCTCTGTGGGCTGAGGAGATTCTGTAACTAGCCTTGAAACCAGTTGGTTCTTCTCAGGCTTAGGGTCAGGGAGATGTTTTGCATATAAACAGATGTTGAGTAGTTTGTCCTGGTATCATCTGATACCTGCCATTTAGCTGCTGTCTTTGTTTCAGTTTGTAGTAGATCCATATCAATGTGATTATGTCACTTAGTTTTATCATTGTATCATTTAGTTTTGTATCATTGGTATCTTGGTCTATCTATAGGTGTTGTGTCATACAATTTAATGTTTATGTCAGTTTTAGTTATTTGTAGTATTTGCTATTTACTGCTGTTGTGTCATTAGTATTTATCTACCATTGTATTGCTCAGTGTTTGTGTTATCATTGGTATAATTTAATAAATATGTGTCTGACAGTCTTTAAAAAAAAGTCCTTTTTCCTATTAAAGCCATATCTACACATGCTAATTTTCTGTGATAATGTGGAGGTCCCTTGTCTGTAAGCCTGTCATTTAGATCTGAAAGCCACAAACTTAGAGACAGATACACAGGAAATATGTTAATTTGTGATTCATTTATTTGTGTGTTTATCTCTTGTAACTCTAAAGTAATCATAGACAGTACATGATACAGAAAGTATGACAGTAAGCCAGGAGTGGTGGTGCATGCCTTTAATCCCAGAATTTGGTATGCAGAGGCAAGTGAGATCTCTGTGAGATGGAGGCCAACCTGGCCTACATAGTGATTTCCAGACCAGCTGGTGCTGCAGGGAGACCCTGTCTCAAAAAGGGAAAAAAAAGTGACAGTAAAACTGTATTTTCATAAACATATGCACCCAGGAGTTTGTCAGTCTGTGATTTAGAATAGGACTGAGAGCTGCCTATAGAACTCTAGGTCTTTGCAGATGCCAGAATAAAGGAAAAGTGGGTAAAGCCTGGCCTGGTTTTGGTGATCAGGGCTCTTCTCATTGCATCTCATGGATGCATTTCTGCTAACTGATCTGCTGAATTTCTTGAAGGAGAATACCCTTGTTTCTTTGTTGATAAATTTATAGAGAATTATTCTAGCCAATGTGTGGTCTAGATTTGACATTTATTTGGCTCTATGTCTTTGGAACATTTGTGGATTGTGTCTATGCTAGGTCTTGGGGCCAGGAATGGGAGGGTCATAGTCTCTGTCCCTCAACACAAATAAATTGTAGTGCCTAATTACTCTAGTGAGAGATTCTAGGTATCAGTGCTGGAGGATTGAATTCTTACTGTTCTTTGCTCTGTCAGAAAACCTAAGAGGTCTTTGAGTTGAAATTTGAAGTGGAAGTTGGTCAGCCAGTTTAGTAAGGAGAAAAAATGAACGATGTGTTAAAAATCTGTGTTAATTTGCTTCTGCCGCCGTAACTAAAGTACCACAGATCTGATGCTTAAACAAGAGACATTTCAGTCCTGTTGTCTGGAAGTCTGTGATCTAGATGTTGGCAAGGTTAGTTTCTGGTGAGGCATCTTCCTGGTCTGCAGGTGACCGTGTCCTCTCACTGGGCCTCACTGGGCCTTTTCTCTGTGTTTCTGTGGAGACAGAGCTCTTGGTGCCTCCTCTTCTTTCAAGGATACCACTCTCGTGGAATAAGGGCTCCAGACTAGGACCTCCTGTATCCCTATTTATGTTTCTTAAGACCTTATGTCCATCACATTGGGGACTAAAGCTTTATGATACTATTTTGTTAAATGCTTGGGAGGTATGTTTCAGTCCATAAAGATTGAAATTAGCTTGGATTATTTAAAGAACGATATAAAATGTATGTGAATTTAAACCCTCCTTTCCTCTCAGGTAACAAGCAAACAAACAAATTAAGAAAATACAGTGTTTCAAGTGTTAACATAGACCATTGATACAGTATGCTATTAGGTATGTAGGCTGTGGGTCTTATATGCAATGCTTAACAAATTTTGAGTTTTGTACTACTTAACAATCAGAAGACAGGGGGATGTGTACATACTTGTGATTGTGAATCTGGGGCACTTAGTATGTATGACTCAGCTTTAAGGCATTACAGCCCTATGAAGGATGTGTTCAGAGGGCCTCCTGGGGGTTGTGTTGGAGAAGTGATATTAAAAGGTAGGAGGACCAGCTAGGTAGCTGCTGGAATAATTCAGCTGAGGGATGAGGTCAGAGCGAGGGTAGTTACACAGGGAGCAGAAAGGAACAGATGAGCTGTTTGGAAGATAGTAGGGCTGAGTGGTGATGGAAGGTAGGAGGTGAAAATCTTTTCCTTTCTGCTGAATTCCTCTTTTCAATTTCAGTTTTCCTGGAATTCATTAACATTTTCTTTGTCTCCTGCTGAAGAAAAGCTCTGTATTAAGCCAATTCCCTGGGTCAGATTGAGTTGTAAATGTTTTTGCTAAGCAGCTTTTCACTTTGTTGTTTTCAAGGACAAGGAGAATCATAATCTTTCTATACTCCCCTTCAAATTTTGCTTACTGCTGTCTTTGGAAGCTCAGGTGTCTGTGTTTGTGGTTTTTGAAGAAGACAGTTTAAGAAGATACTGGTCTGATTCAGCTGCAGCTATCCCATTAAACTGTGACTCCTGATTACCAGAATATCATCACCATTTACTAAGTGCCAGATAGTCTTATTAACTGCTTCTTGCCTCCTCAAAACTTTGTATCGCCTCCTTCCTTGATTTCAGTTGCCTTACGCCATAAATATTTACTCTTTATTGTGATATGTTTTCTTTCCATTTTGTATATACTTATATTGGAATAATTGGATCCATTTGTGTTCTTTTCTACTACTTCAGTGTAAAAGTCCTTAACATTCTCTTACCATAGGCCAAAACAAATTCTTGACAAAGTAAGGACACAGATGAGGGCCTTCTCCTGTCTGTCTGTGTCTGCTAGGTTTATTCATTGTTTTAGGGGAGAAGTTGATTTTTTTGCTTTAAAAATGTAACTCAAAGTTGAATTTCAGGCTATTTTCTCTTTTTTAACTTATTTTTAAAACCTTTAACCAGAGTTGTTTTCTCCTTTGTAGTGCTTTTGTTCCATTGACCCTTCCCAGTAACAAAAATTCTACAGAGTGGGAAAAAGTGAAGTTCCTGTTTGAAGAACTTGGAAGTAGTCGTAAGTATTATTTTTGTTTAAATTGATAACAATTTATGTTTCATGTTCTTTGGGAATTTTAAAAAAATTAAAAATTTTTATTATGTGTATGAGTGTATTGCCTGTATGTATGTAAGTGCACCTGTGTTGTACAATGCTCATGGAGGTCAGAAGAGGGTGTTTGATCCCCTGGAACTGGAATTAGGGACAGTTGTTAGCTGACATGTGGGTGCTAGGAATTGAACCTGGGTCCTCTGCAAGAGCAGTTTGTGCTCTTAATCGCTGAGCCATCTTTCCAGCCCCTCTTAGGGAATGTTTGATGAATAGCTGGGTATTGCTTTGCTAAGAACTTAACCCTGCAATTCTTTTCTTACGTTGCTGAGTCTCACTTACAGCTATTATATAGCTAGTTTCTTGGTTTCTGCATAAAGTTACCATGTTAAAAAGAAGCTTTAATTTTCAAAGTATTTTAGCAGCAATCCTCTTATAATTTCAATGTTATCTTTAATTCTTTAAACATAGGAAAACATGTTAAAGAAATGTGCTAGATCTACTGATTTTTGCTTTAAACTTTTAATTTGGAGAAGGCTCTATGATGTTATTAAGATGAAATAATACCTTTTCCACAATATAAATTATAGCTGTTTTATATGAATTAAATAATGTTTTGATATAAATTTATCTCACCTAAACATTTTGGCATTGTTCTTCTTGAAATTCTTAATCAGTTGCCCTAGGATTTTTTTTTAAAGATTAATTTTAAACTTTTAATTACTTGTATGTATGTGTATTGAAAGGTTTGGGCAGGTGAGTAGTACCTTCAGACTCCAGAGGTATTAGATCCTGTGGAGATGAAGTTATAGGCAATTGTGAACGGCCCAGCATGGGTGCTGGGAACCCAGCCTGGATCCTCCACAACAAGATCAGTACTCGTGTTTTAACCACTGAGCCATCTCTCCAGCCTATTCCCAATTTATTGAGAATTTCATACACGCATATAAGGTGGTTTGATCAAATCCATGCCCACTCCCTCCCCTCCAACACCTCCCATATCTCCCCATCACTTTTTTTCTGACAGGTTCTTCGTGTATCCTTCCTTCCCTCCTTCCTTCCTTCCTTCCTTCCTTCCTTCCTTCCTTCCTTCCTTCCTTCCTTCTTCCCTCCTTCCCTCCCTTCCTCCCTCCTCCCCCCTTTCTCTCTCCTTTATTCTTTCTTTCTTAATGGGGCTTTTTGCTACTCTAACATTCCCCTCTCTGAAGAGGTAACCCTAAAATCCTTTTAGGGATTAGATAAGAGCTCCCAAATACTTTTGACAATTTTGGCCTTTGGAACAGTATGTTGCTAAGTAGCCCAAGGACATTTTGACTTTTAGCCAAGAAACTGGCTACTTTTCTTTGGGGTCTTTTTTACCCTAACTGCCTAGCCAGTTCCTACCTCCTATTTTTATCATACCATCCTCTGAAGGGGTTACCCAAATTGCCTATAGGGAATCGGGATGCAGTCAGCTCTGGCTTCTTCCATGCTGAATAGGGACACAGGGTGAGGAAATTGGGGTACCCTTCAGTGGGTCTGAGAAGAAATAGGAAAGTTCAGACACTTAGATTTTAGACATTCCTTAATCATTGAAAAATAGCTTTACCCTTAGAAGGCGACAGCAAGTATAAAAGTAAACTATTCCTCAGAAATGTATGTGTTTGGGCATAGTAACTGTTGCCCCCATTCCTGGAATCCTTAATTTTATGAGCACTGTACTAAAAATGTTCTTGTTTTGTGCTTCTCCTTTCTAATCAGTCCTGTGCATCTTTTGATCAGCATTTCTTGCTTTTACCCAGATGCTGTATTAAACAGTCATTAAATTATGTCTTGGAATCTGCCATACAACTCTTAATTTTCTTGTTTCTCACTTAAGATTTCATCTTGTAAATTGTGGTCCATTAATATCTTGCTGATACCAGCAAGAATGAGACTCACAGGACTGGCATCTGCTGTTAATGAATTCTCAGGATCCATGACCTTGCTCTTACTGCTGAGAATGAATTGCTTCTTTTCTGCTGTTAGTGCCTTCATGCTTTTGAATTGCTGTTCTGCCCTAAACATTGTTACCTGAAAACTGGCCTGAGGACTAGAGTAACCGGCACCAGTGGTTACATGGGCAGCGCTATTGTAACTGCTCTCATGTTCTTAAGTTTTGTTTCTCTTTAGTCCCGATTGTATTTTAACATTTCTCTAGCTCTACTATCTTTTAAAAATATTTACTATTATTATTATTTATATGAATGTGTGTAAGTGCACCAGTATCATGTAGTGCTCATTGAGGTCAGAAAAGGGTCTCTGATCCCCTGGAATGGGAGCTATGGAAGGTTGTTAGCTGCCATGTGGGTACTTGGAACCAAACCCAGGTCCTCTGCAAGAGCAGCCGGTTCTCTTAACTGCTGAGCCATCTCTCCAGCCCCTAGATCTACTATCTTTTTAAGTTCAGTATAGTCACCTATCCTTAATTTGTAGTCTGATTTGCCCTTATCTCAATTTTCTGCAGTTTTTAGGCTTCAAGCATATGTAACCATTTCAAAATATGTACTTTCTATGTACTAAAATAAGCATGTACATTTTTTGCATGTATAATATGTTTAACATATATGTAACTGATTGTAATCAAGGTATAGAACCCATCCATCGCTATAGAGATTTCCTTAATGTGCCTATTACCTCCTATGTTATAATATCTTCAATTATATGTTAGTTTGTTTTTTAAAAAAATATCATCAATAAATCAGTGGTTAAGAGCACATACTGCTCTTGCAAAGGACCCAAGTTCAGTTACCAGCACCCACATCATGTAGTCCACAGCAGCCTTTAATTCCCAACTCCTAGGGATCTAACACCCTCTTCAGGACTTAACGGGCACCTACACTCATATGCACATGTCCACAAAGACACATAAATAAAAATTAAAATAAATAGTTGGAGGTTGAAGAGATGGCTCAGGAATTAAGAGTGCTTACTACTATCACAGACCACCAGAATTTGGGTCTCAGTACCCTCGTTGATCTCACAAACACCTATAACTGTAACTCCAAGGGGTCTGATACCCTTCTTCTGACCTCCATGAGCACCTGTGTACTTATGTGCCCATACACATGTATGCACATAAATAAATCTTTAAAAAACTAAAAATTAAAGAATATGCCTTGGTTCATGATTTTGTTAATAATGTTTTTTTATGTGTTAACATTAAATTGCAATGAGTTTCAGAAGATACATCATTTTAGTTTATTAATATTTGTGAAAATATTGTTAAAACATCAAATTAATAAAAATATTGTGTCTTGTCTTCTAGGACCTGGTTTCAACTAGATCAGTACAATTATTAATGTAGAAAAATTATTTTCATTTAATAATAGTCAGATTCTCATAGTATTTCCTTATGTGACCTGGGTTTTTTTTTGTTCCATTACAGATCTCAGTCGTGGTCTTCCTAACTTGTTAATGCAGTATTCCTGTTTTTGTATGTTTATTTGGGTTTTGTTGTGTTGGGGGTGTTTGGTGTTGGTAGTTTGCTAAATTTTGGTACAGGAGTCCCCTAGTAGCACAGGATGGCCTCCTGCTCTTCATCTTCTTGTCTCTCCCTAGTGCTGAGGTGTGCATCACCACATCCAGATAGCATCCTCAGTTTTTATGGTTGCTTTGAATCCATTTTTGGTTTGTGCTTGTCTTTTTTTCTTTTTTCTTTTTTCTTTTTTTTTTTTTGCCAATGGACAAGCTAATTCTCTCAGGTCAAAAAGTGGTATAAACCCTAAAGACATTTTAGGTTACATAGCAAAGGCATTTGAAAATTAAGGAAAAATAATCTAAAAGAATCCAAATTTGAAGGGAAGAGGGAGAAAGAATAAGGTCAGGCATTTTCCTGTGCAGTGTCATTTATCAGGATTTGCTGTTGTAAAATGTCCAGGCAAGGGCTGGGGAGGACTTGGGGCAAAAAGTGTTCTGTGCAAGCATGAGGACCTGAGTTTGGATCCCTGGCACCCACATAGAAGATCTGTAACCTCAGCACTGAGGGGTTGGAAGTAGGCAGGAGGTTCCCAGAGCTTGTTCACTGGTTAAGTCAAACTGAATTGGTGAGCTTCAGGTTCATTGAGAGACCCCATCTCACAAAGAACATGGTGCCGAGCAATGGAGGAAGAAGACACCAGTGTCAGCCTCCATCCTCCAGCTGTACAGACACACGTGCACACATGTATGTGTGTGCACACACGTGTATGCACACAAAAAAGAAATCCAGACAATCATTCCATCACCTTTTGAGCATCTAATATTTTAGGATGGAGGGGGCAATAATTCAGCAGTAATTGTCTTCCTAATTTTAAAAGGTGAAAGAAAGTCTTAGCTAATCTAAAGGACTGTGTATAGGTCAGTTTATGAAAAGTTCTTTAAAAACTCCTCCCTCTAGTTAGAATTAGGCCTAAAAGGACACAGTGACATGTATCTGTTTTATGACATGTATCTCCTTCATGTCTGAGGAGTCTGGGTGTTCGTATTTTATGTTGGCATGATGAAAATAACATTTGAGGAGTATATATGTACGTGAACGATCTTTTTCATTTTTCTCAGATGGATTAGCTGCGTTGTCATTCTCCATTAGTTCTCTGACCCTGATTGGAATGTTGGCAGCTATAACTTACACAGTAAGTGCAATGCTGGTAATTGAGCTAAAACTGAAGTGTCCGCCTACAAAGCACCTTCTTAGACCTGTTCAGCTTATTTTTATTTTCTTCTTTAATGTCTTAGTTTTGTTTTCAATTTCCATTGTTTTCTTCACATGAGAGGATGGTAGTTTGAGTTACTTGGTCATGATCATTTTATCTGTATTGGATTAATATTCAGAAATGAGTTTTATAACTTGTGAACTTATATAGTTACACACTATATAGCAGTAGACTAAGTAATATATACATACTAAAACTCTGAGCTCTGTCAGTATTTGTTACTAATTCTATAAATGTGTCTTATTTGAGTGTATAGAACTTTCAAAATCACATGCCAATACTTATTCAGTATATAGACTTTTAATACTGTACTTTCTAATACTTTTTTGATTTTTGGTCAATTCTTTCCTGAAGTGGCAAGACACGAATTATGAGTGACTGACAAACTTAAATACAGGCTGCTCTTTGGTTTGGTCAAATTGTGGAGAAAAAGGCAATAATAAATGCTCTTTCTACCCTCTCCCCATGAACTGTACAAACAACATTTAAATTGTCTGGAAGCTTTTCAGATTAATGTGGTTATGCTTAGAGCACTCCTGATTCTTGTGACAATGAAAAATACTGTTAATTTGGAAATGTTTTTGGATATTTTCCCAATATCTCTCTCTTTCATATGATCATGAAAGAAACAGGCTGGTGGTGTAGTAGTAGAATCTGGTTTCTTGTATGATCATTTGTGCATCATTATAAATGTATAATTAAAAAGAACTAAGAAACATACATTTTAATATCCTTAGGTGCTTACGTGGATAATACTCAGTTTTCTTATTATTTACCATTGCTTGTGTTTTAATGTGTTAGTACACGAGGAATTTGCCATCTGATAATATTGGGTAGTTATCTTTCTCACAGACTATAGTATGTACACATGTTAGTTATTTGTCTTTTAAAAAGCGATCACAAGCTAGTCTTGGTAGCACACACCTATTTAATCCCAGTACTCTGGAGTCAGGGGCACGTTGATCTCTATGAGATGAAGGCCAGCTCTATATAGTTCCAGTCTAGCTGAGGCTACAGAGAGACTCTTTCTCAAAAAGATCAGAAAAGAAAAAAAGTTATAAATTGAAACTCAATTAGGAGTAAGACCTGGAATTCTAGTTGATATTCCGTGACTTTAGATTTATTATAGTAATTTTGCGTTTGTTTAACCTCTGTGTTCTAGATTAAGTAAGAATTGAAAAAGCTTCACAGGGACTTTTAAAGTTCAAGAGACACAGTTTATAAAAGTGCTTTGATACCTACAAGGAAAGGAGATAAGCGACAGATGAAAGATTAGTAGGGAGAAATAAATGAACAGAAGAGAAAGCCAGTGTCAAGAACTATGAAAGGTCTAGGATTCATGCTACTTGGAGTCTGCTGCAGTGGAGCAGGCAAAGTCCTTTATTAGTCACTGCAATAGCACTGCATAGGATTGCCAGTTTTCTGGTACAGGTTTCCTGGGCTTCAGTTCACACAGGGAAGTATGAATAGATCAGAGACCCGCACACAGTAGCATGCATGACAGAAAAGGAACGGGGTTTAGGGAAGCTGAATCTTCTGTATGGACAGTAAGTGCGGTTACCCATTGTCCCAGAGGACGATGCCATCTGTACCTGCCAATGCTGTTTGCTATACAGACTGCCTTGAAGAGGTGGTACAGGGGGTAGAAAGGGCAGGTGAGACCTGAGTTGGAATTTGTGTGGAAATTAAAGACCCACGGAGAATTGTCTCCCGCTGTCAACAATAGATGCTCTGGAGAACAGTAAGAAAAGCTTCAGGGGGTAGTAGTGAAGACTGCTGCTGTCTAGGTCAGGAGTGACTTCTCCATCATTGGAACAGAGACTCAAATAATATGAAGGCAAACTGTGACAGAGTGAGTACATGTACTGAGGTCGGTGTGCAGATGTTATATTCAGATAACCTGAAGGAGACAAAGCCAGTGTGACTGGTGCTCACTTAGCAAGGGTTGAGACAGGAAGAAATTGAGATGAGGGTACTGAGATAACATGTCTTGTACAACCCTAGACCATCCTTAAAATTCCTAAATTTATTCCAATGGAACCTAGACACCACTCACCACTGAAAGGTTTTGAATGGAAAAGCAGTGTTCTCTGACAAACATTTTTTCTTCTTGTTTTATTTTTCTTTTTGAGACACAGTCTCCCTGGAGCCCCAGCTGGTTTGGAATTCACTGTGTAGACCAGGCTGGCCTCCATCTCACAGAGATCTATCTACCTGCCTCTGCCTCCTGAGTGCTGGGATTAAAGGTGTGAGCCATCAGGCAGGCTACTGGCAACATTTGAAGATGTCCATCTGGAAGCTCTGAATTAAGCTGTAGGAGTGGGGAGTGGAGGTACCATTTGAAAGACAGCTTCCCTGAAGGAATGGCTTTCCCTGTAATTGTAAAGAGAAATATTTTAAACTAATGTTTTATGTTGTTCAAAGTCAAACTTTGAAAATTATCATTTAATCATTTAAATAAAATACAGACATTATATTGAATTAAGATATTCTTAACTGATGAGCCTTCTCTCTAGCCCTGAATTAATATATCTTTAACCAAATATCCTTGAGGGATAGCTCAAGGACATTGATAAAACAACTGGAGCCAATGAATCTTAACTTATGTTAAGATTTAGATTAGGAACCCAAAACACTATGCAGAGTTGTTGAATTGGCAGGGATGGGCTGCTTAATGCCTAAGGCCATGGGCAGATTTCACTGTGTAGCATGAGATCAAGCTTCTGACTAATTACATCTTTTCTTTAAGCCGTGTATACAATGAAATTATGAAGTATACATAAATGATGGTTAGCTGTAGTTTAGAGGGTGTGGATAGAGCATAAGTATCATTTAAATAACACTGAAAACATGCTCCAAGCACAGTGAGAAAATATTTTGCAACTAACCAATAGATTGGCTCATTTTATTTCTGATAATGAGCACAGGAGGAGGAGTGGTGTGTATTTTGTGTATGAGGTCCCATCTGATCCCTAGTGTCCCCTTCTATAGAAAAGAGCCAACAATTCCTTAGCTTTATTAAAACTTACTCAGAAAACAACCCTTTATAGGTAGATGGCTTCAGTGTAAATAGTAACTAATAGTCTTGGTTACTTTGTTTTGAAGTTGAGATACAAAGTGTCTCAATTCATTGTGGGAAATCTTGAGAATGGTGTATGAAAGAGGGCACAGAAGATATTCATAAGGAGTGAGAGAGGTTTAATTTTAATTGACGTATTCAAAGTGGGGATTAAGGCTTAGAATATTTTGACCCTGGATATAAAAAAATCAACTAAATGTAAAATTCTGTTTGTTGCAAAATTATAACTAATGTTTTTATAGGAAGACTTCATTTATTTTTGTACATAATGGGATTTCATAGATATGTATTATTGCTTAGCTTAGAAACTAGTTAGTTATGGGGCTGGATAGATGGCTCAGCATTTAAGAACATTGACTGTTCTTGCACAAGACCTGGGTTCGAATCCCAGCAGCCACATGGCAGCTAACAACTGTCTGTAACTCCAGTTCCAGGGGATCCGACAGCCTCTTCTTTCCTCTGTGGGCATTGCAGGACACGGGTGCAATACACACATACACACATACACATAAAATAAAAATAATAAAAAAAATATTTTAAGAAACTAGTTGATTATTTAAATTTTACTAAGATTTTGCCACTGTACCATGTTTTAAGGAATATACAAATATTTGCACACTCAGTTTGAGAATAGCAAACTAAATTTTAATTTGCTTGTTTATTTTAAGCTTAAGTCAAAAAAGAGTTTGATACTTTTCAAATTTAATAAATGAAACCTCTGGAAACAACTGTCGATGTAGATATTGTAAATTTTTTGGTGCCACCAAGTGGGGGAATGTTGGATAATGATATTTCCATATAAAATGTATTCTGTGGGTCAGTGACATCTTTAACAAGATTGCTAACTACATACTCATAAGTAAAACTTGAAAATTGTCTTCTAAGTTGTGTCTGAATCTTAAATATGATTTGTTATAACCTGTGTACATTTGCTGTGACTTGATTATTCAGGTCTATCTCTTACTGTATGCCCAGGTCTTTCATGTTGTCTGTCATGAGAACTGATGCTACATCTTTTCCTGAGTGTTCTCCTCACGTGTCTGGGATCTACCTTGAAGCTGCAACATTCTGTGTGTTTTAGTTGTTTTGTGCTTTTTGTCTTTCCATTTGAGAGATAACACCTAGCTAATACCTAAGTAGAAAAATGCAAAGAACAGCTTCTAAATGAGTATTTCCCCTTCCAAGTATATAACATACTAGATTGTTGATTTGCAAGGGAAAAGAAAGTCCAGCATTATGTTTATTGTTCTAGCGGATATATTTTTGCTCTTTTTGCTTCTTCACTTTCTCCCTATATATGAAGTTCTTGCTTCAGTGTCATGTACTATCTTAGAAGACATAAGTGGCAATTAAATTCAGAATTTATTTCAACAGTGCATGTAACTCACTGGAAGGTATCTATCACGTAACTGACTGAATTTATGAATGAGCATGTAATAACAACTGTGCCCTGACTTTTGCCTAGTCACTGATGATAAGATATGTTTGGTGTCAAGCCTTACTCAAATGTCAGTGTTATTAGATGTGAGAAAATATGTATAAATGAATGGTTTCATTGAATAGAAAAGCATTTGTGTCTTTGAATTACAAGTTTTTCAAATTCAGGAAAAATGTTTATTTAGCCAACTCCAAGATTTATGAGTTGGACACCATCAAATAAGGGAGATTATCTATCTGTCTGTCTATCTGTGGTTCCATTCTAGATTGAACAGTACAAGAAGCTATAAGAATTTTATTCTATACGTATTGTTATATTGTTTTTAAACATTTGTTGGTGACTTATTTTTGGAAGCAGAACAAACAAAAACTTGGGAGGCAATTGGGGCTAACCTAGAAGCATTTTGAAGCCATGCAATCATTTAGCCTTGTTGATCTCTTAGAAATCCACTAGAGGGCAGTAGTAAGCAATAAAAGGGTTTTTGTACTTTTCCCCAAGAAATCTGAGATTAAATTCAAAAGATTAGAGACGTTTATACTTTTAAATGTTTGTTTCAGGCTTATTAAAACCTAAACGTTATAGTTAAATTTCTTGATAATCATTGAAACTTAAACATGCAATTTAGAAACAAGCTAAAGCTTGTTAGCCAAGCAATGGTTACTGTCTTTTATTTGCTATCTTCAGTTAACATTTAGAGAAGGTATTGTATTCTGGTCTCATCTTACCACAGGTTGTTACCAAGTACACGTTTTTATTTTCTGAAGTACTTTACATTAAGCTACTGAGAAATTCACTTCAGCTCTTCTAATAAATACATAAATTATATGTAAGAAAATAGCTCTTTTTAAAAAAAATATTTTTAATCAAATAGTATCTTTGTAAAATTTTTTGACTAATAAATGTTGTTTGATTAAAGACAGGAGGAGAAAAAACTGAGACTTAGTCTGCACTTATCAAATAGTCTCTGCTCTTGTTTCTAGTCTGGCTCAGAAGTCTGACTGGCCAGGTTTGGCAGCTCTAGTGGTGAAACGTGTGCAGACCAATATTAAATATACATTATTATTTATTAAAGCAAGGCACGTGTTCAAATCAGGGCAAATTTTCTGACATGGGGTAATTAAGCTGAGACCCAAAATACATAGAAATTTCCTAATGAAGTAGGTTAATAAACAAGCATTCTAGAGAGGGCAGTGTATGCTTTAAAATGTGGGTGCTGGGCAGAGTCTGAAGTTAAAAACTATAGTGTTTAAGAGTGGTGAACAATCGGGAGGCATGAGATAAGGTTAACAAGTTGATGGGCATGCAAGATTATGTAATTGGAGTCTATTCTCCAGACCAGTCATTCTGTCATGTTTAAACAATGTTAAACGAAGTTCTGGTAATATATGTGGGGTTTTTGTTTGTTTTTAAGCTGAATGAGTAGAATTGCTCAGGTTAAAGCTGCAGTGGGTCACTGTATGGCTCTTAGGGATTCAAGAAGCAGCTTTCCAGAATCCCAGGATCCCCTATGAGAACATATTGAGTAATACCCTTTTCAGTCCTGGAGAGTCTTAAAGGATATTAATTAGAAGATGACTTAATCTGACCTGGGTGTTAGAATGAGATCACTAGAAACTGCATAGAAGATGGATTTGTAGTAAATCAAACCAAGAAAATGGTCAGGAAAATTTAGATACCCTGGGCTCTGACAGTAGACTTTGGATTGGGAGCATGTTGTTAATACTGACGAAAACAAAGATTCCAGGGGAGCAGTATTGAGAACTGAAGTTAATTAAGGAAGTCAAAGCCATCCACCCCCAAATGCGCTATGCCTAAGAACAGCAACCAGACTCACTGCCTTACCTACAAAGGGGAGACTAAGAAGCCTCTGGTTATGTGCTCACATCTGTGAGAGATTAAAATGACAAGCTGTCACAACCAGGATGTGGTAGTTGTCACTGTTTCTTAGGGACTTAAGGTTAATGTGTCTCTGAATAATGGCTGCATAGCATATGCCATTGAATTGTTGTACCTCATCCACTGGACCCCAAAAAGACCACCGAGAACCCAACACACCAAAATGCAAAAGCAAAGGTTTATGGTTTATTTGGGCTTAAGCTCGGGCTCTCAGACCTCACCAACTCAACGGATCCGTGCTGAGAGCCCAGAGTAAGGGAGAATGGAACCTTTTATAGGTTTTAGACAAAGAGAGGAGGGATGCCGAAGATACATTTTGGTTGGTTCAAGGAACCCGTGTGCGCCATCATAATTTTAAACTGATTGGATGTATAAGATGCAGCCCTGGAAGTTTCTTATTGGTAGGTGCTATTCTCAGGGCTGTGGAATGTGCTGACTGTTATCTGTGGGGCCAGGAGTCTCTGTTTTTACCTTATAGGGCAGTTTTCATGCCCAGGCTTGCTTAATCTATAGTTTCCTAGGGGGGTGGGGGGAATAGCAGGCAGGGGTCAGGGCATGCCAGGGCATGTCTAGGCATGTCTAAAGTAGCAGCCAAGCATTTTACAGAAGCTAAAAGAGCAATTAGTAGGGGTCTGGAGGGATTGGGGGGTAGTGGGTGAATGAAGAGGGTCTCAGGGTCCTACAGAATGTAATGTTAATGGGTATTATAAAATTATCACTTGGGACTGGAATATGGAATTAAGTAGTAAGGATAATAGTATGTTTTTTCTTAATGCTGAAAGTTAATTGTAGAAAAGTATTTGAAGGTTAGTAAAAAAAGATTATTAGTATGTGGAATTTTAAGTAAACTATATAGATAGTAAGTGTACTTATCAAATATCACATTTATAATACTTAGTTTTTCTAAAGGTTTACTATATATAATTGGAAAAAAATTGCTTTTATACTAATAGAAAATATTTCATAAATTGTTCTTATTAACTCACATTATCGTAACCTGATTTGTCTGAAGTTGTAACTTGTTACTTTGATAAAGTAGGTGTCTTAGTTTGTCTCTCCATTGCTGTGACAAAACACACTGACCACTACCAACTTGGGGAGGAAAGGGTTTATTTGTCTTACATCTCCTGGGTCATAGTTCATCAGGGAGCCCAAAGTAGGAACTCAGGGCAGGAACCTGGAACCAGGAGCTGGAGCACAGGCCATGGAGGAATGCTGCTTATTGACTTGCTCCCCTGACCCTTGCTCAGCCTGCTTTCTTATGCAACACAGGCCTACCTGCCCAGGTATGGCACCACCCACAGTGGACTGGGCCCTCCCACATCATTCAGCAATCAAGAAGGTGCCCCATGTACATGGCCACAGGCCAGTCCAATGAAGATAAGTCCCCACTTGAGACTCCCTCAACCCAGGTGTGTCAAGTTGACACTAAAGCTATTCAGCACAGTAGGATATTTACATTAAATGTACATCTTATTATTTAAGCAGTAATTAGTTTTGGAAACTTAACTGCATATGTAAGGGAAGCAACTCAAAGGGGACTGTAAGAGCAGGATTCAGTGTCATGACCATGTTCCTTAGTGACTATGCGTGCTCACTGATGATCACTGTCAAGTTCTTACTTCTAAAAGACCTATTTTCCTAACCTGAAAATAATGTATGAAATGTCTCAAGTACTTTATTAAAATGTTTAAATTCTTTTCCTCTAAGGCATACGGCATGTCAGCATTACCTTTAAATCTGATAAAAGGTACCCGAAGTGCTGCTTACGAACGGTTAGAGAACACTGAAGACATTGAAGAAGTGGAGCGGCACATGCAGACAATCCGCTCAAAGGTGAGCTGCTGTCTTGCAGGTGGGAAGCATAGCTTTACTGTATCTTTGAGTTGCTTTGTGACATGACTTTAGCATTGGAAAATCCATAATTTTTTTACAGTCTGAATTTTTTGCAATATACCCTTTATGAATCATGTTACTATGTTTAGAATTTTATCTTCTATCTGAAATATAGGATATCGACAGTTTGAGACTTTCTGTTAGTGTAGTTTCCTAACAACTAAGAAAACTTTCTGCTTGCTTATGATCAAGACTTTGCCAACTCTCAGTCACCTTGATTTTATATTTGATGTCATATTTTACTACATCTCTTATGTTCAAATTTGGGGAATTTATTAAGCAGTAAAGATGACATTTAATCCCTTAGGAACTAAATATATTTCTAAAAATCCAATGAAGATTTTTCTTCTTATATTATCTTGCAATAAAACACACGTGCGCGCTCGCACACACACTTTTTTTTTTCAAGAGGAGGGGATTATTTTGGTTAATGATTTGAGGTCGCAATCCATCACAGAGGGGAGGTCTTCGTGGTGAAATAGGTCTTTTCTTAATTTATTTTTATTTATTTATTTAAGTGGAGGGCAGGCACATGCCACAGCACATATGTAGAAATCAAGGACAACTTGTGGGAGTAGGTTCTCTTCTACCATGTGCGTTCTGGAGATCTAACTCAGGTTATCAGGCTTGGCAGCAGCACTGTTGCCCTAGAGCAGCTCTTGGCTGCAGGCATGTGAGGCTGCTTGCTCATATCTCAGAGGGTCAGGAAGCAGAGGGACAGGTACATGAGTCTCAGCTTGCTCTTTCTTTTTTCCCTTCTTATTTAGGACCCCATGGATGGTGCTCCCTACATAAGGCTAGTCTTTCTCCCACAATTAATCCTCTCTGGAATATATATGTATTCTCTCACAGACATATCCAAAAGTGTGTATCATTAAGACACTAGATATTTCTTACTTTAAGAAATTCACTGTTGAAATTAACCATCAAAAGTGCACTCCTTGTAAACTTGACACCCAAGCAAATCATTTTAAACCATAACGGTCCACCCCTGGTCCCCTGAAGTCTCATGTTTATCTTATAATGTATGCATTTAGTGTATCTATCTTTAAGAGTCTTCAAAGGTTAAATGCCAAAGTCTTTTTCTGGGGCAGTCTTCAAACTCTGAGTCTCTAAAAATTTACAGCCACTTTTGAAAGAGATGTATCCTTGCTCTGGAAATTGATATTGAATGTGTTAAAGCTTTAATGAAATGCTTCTTCTAATCATGTGGGTATTAAATAAATAAAAATTTCATTAATGCAATAAAAAAAGTTAACTATTGGCAGTATACAACAACAGAGCAACTTTCCCTTTGCAAAGGGAAAGAATAGGAAGATAGCAAGGAAAGGTAGGTTCAAAGCAAATCCAAAACCCAGTAGGGCAGACATCAAACCCAGAGGTCCATGTTTGGAATCTAGGACCCATGATGGTATCATCTCTGCTCCAGGGGGCTTTGGTGGCTCTGCTCTTCCAGTTCTGTTACTGGTAGCACATATAGATTGGTTTGGCTCCTCTTGATGTCTGCAGCTCTTGCCAGTGCATGTCTTTCATTTCTGGCACTGTGAATATTGTAGGGTTTCAAGTTAGACTTCACCTTCTTGAGCAGTCTGCTTGGAACTCTGTGCAGGGATAATGACTCTGTTCCATATTGTCTGGCCTCAGTGGCTCTCTGGAACCTTGGTGTAAGCCCCCCATAACCTACTCTTGCATCCCAGATGTCTGAAAAACCAGCATCATATGAACATTGCCACCTTCTGATACCATCTCAAGGAACAACCTGGCTGCCTTGGACCACGTCTGTGGTGGTGTCTGTGTACCTTTGTGGCTGAACTAGGAAAAGTACTCCCCTTAGTGGTCATTTTCCATCAGTGTGCCCCGAAGAACCTATCTTTTTAGGCACTCTCCTTTCAAATGAATTTCAAACGAATTGAAAGGAGTTCTCAGTAGGTAGAGTGTTGTTTTTTCAAGCACATTTTCTGTTATCCCAGTGCAACTCTGTCCTATTTAGCTTTCTATTGCTATATGATAGAACACTCTGACAAAAACCAACTTGGGGAGGAAAGGGTTTATTTGGCTTATGTATCCTGATCACAGCCCATCTTTGAGGAAATCAAAGAGAGGAACTCAAGGAAGCAGAAACTGAGACCACAGAGGAACACTGCTTACTGGTTTACTCCTCTGGCCTGTGCTCACCCTGCTTTCCCATACAACCCAGGACCACCTGCCCAGGAGTGGCACTACCCACAGTGGGCTGGTCTTCCCACATCAGTCAGCAATCAAGAAAATGCTCCAGAGGCTGGTCTGATAGAGGAAATTCCCCAATTGAGATTTCCTCTTCCCAGGTGTGTCAAGTTAGCAACTGAAGCTGCCAGCACAAAGTCTACGGTTTCTCTTTATTGATGCTAATCCTTTAACAGTTCCAGAGGTTTTGTTCATATCCATTTTTTTCCACAATTTTAAATTCACTCACCAAACTGCATTTTTTTGTATCTTTCTGTTCTGTTTGTTTAACATAGATCTTAATAAGAGCAGTAACCATGTCACAGCTTGAATGCTGTGCTGTCTTGAAATTTCCTCCACCAAACAACTTAGTCCTTTTCTTTTGTGTTCAGTCAGGTTTTCAGGACATGGGAAGAATGAAGCCAGATTTTTTGCAAAATGCAACATGGATGATCTGTTTCCCATTTCCTGGTAGAGTCACTGAAATGTCTTGAACTGAGTCTTGACTGTCCACAGCCTTGTGTTCTTCTCAGCTCCTACCAGAATGGCCCATTGAATTCTCTTACAGCATTCTAGAGCTTGCAGTTGTAAGCTTTTTCCATCTTTCCTCCTGTGACCAAATGCCTGACAAGAAGCACCTTGTGGGAGGAAGGGTTCATCTTGGCTTATTGTTTGAGGTTATAGTCTATCATGAGGGAAAGGTGTGGTAGCATGAACAGCTCGAGGCAGGAGTGTCAGGCAGCATGTTCACATCTTGGTGGATCAAGTGGCAGAGAAGGAAGAATTCTGGTGTTCAACACATTTATCTTTCAGAGAGAATGAAGGGGAAATGATAAGCTTTTAAGTTATTCTAAGGTAGCATGATCCTGATACATCACTTCTTTGGTCCAGCTGGAGAAGAAATAGTTAACTGTATTCTCTTACCCTGGGCTTTAACTCGACATTCAGTTTAAGGGTGTTCTGTGCAGTTCACAACTCAAGATAGGTGTTGGACACCGCTAACGTAATTTATTGCTGCATCTTTACCTTTATATTTTTGCTAGCTTTGGGCCAAAATGACATAGCTAGTTGTAGTTACGATCACCAGTTTACTGTTCAGCCTGTTGACTGGCATAAAGCCACAAGCTGCTCTTCTGACTAAGCTGTGGCAAGCAGATTGAGGGCTGCTTGCTGGATGTTAGCATCTGAACATTGTTAGCTGTCCTTCACTCCTTAGTTCCCCAGCACTATTACATATACCAAAAGATTATTTTAAAAATTTAAAGAGAATAAATGAAAAGATCAGTTTTAGGCATAAGAAAGGTGTTCAAGAAGATTAGGTATTATGTACAGAAAAAACTGCATGTAGGTGCATTTGTGTGTACATGTATATGAGAAATTATGTAGAACATTTATAGAAAGATACTGGTCTGCTCAATAGTAATAATTCATGAGAGAGAGTTGTAGTATTGTAACTGGGGTTAGTGCGAGGGGAGCTTTCATGTATTCAAGAGTGATATGCATTTACATTATTTTTAAATGAGATAGGTGGTTGGTTGCATAATTTCTAGTATTTGCCTGGACCAAAATTATCCTTATAGTGGCTTGGTTGGCTGTGTGGACATTCACCCCTCTCTCTCCTGGTGTGTTCACCACATCTAATGGGCAGATAACTTGTGCTTTTTTTTGTTTTAATTTATTTAAGTGTATCCTTAAATCAATTTACTAAGATTCCTTCTCTGAAATGGGTAAAGCCAGCAGCGAACCAGAGCTGCCTTATTGTTGCCATTCTTTTGGTCACAGTGGATGCTCTGTTTGGGTTATTATGGGTAAGGTATGAAGTGCTGGGCTCTTCTCACCTTACACACTAGAAGTATTACTGCCCAAGTCTGTCTTCCAGATGGAAGTTTTCAGTTTTCCCTCTGTCTATCAGTAAATATCATATCCCTTTCCTGGGGTTTAGTTTGATAATATCCAGTGTGCCTGACTTAAAGAAGTGAAGACAATAAAATATAGTTCTGGGTTATGTGTGCTCTTTGGGCAAGTAGCTGCAGCCTAGCTTGAGAATTGTAGAAATGAAAATTCTAGGTCCTCAAGGCTTAAATTACATTTTCTGGCCATCAGCCCTAGAAACCTGTGCTTAGCAGAATTTTCAGATGATTCTTCTTCATAGTGAAGTTGGAGAAGAATTAAGGTATGTATGGAAAAGGGCGGCTGGTTTAAGGAGAGCTTGGTGGTGTCCATATTCTTAAACTGAGAGTCTCTTAGTAAACTGTTTTTTTTGGGGGGGGCGGGGCAGGAATATTATCTTCTTTCTGTGATTTCAAATTGAGGATAAAATGCCTTATAGTGAAGAGCGCTATGCTGAGAACCCTTCAAACATTAGTAGAGATGTCAAAGAGACCCCACGCTAGTATCTTTGCATTTTAAAAGTATATTCCTATTTAAATGTTTGTTCTGTCCAATAAAAGCAAATGTGTATTGCTTCCTTTTGGGATTTAGCAGTTATTTTGTTACCATACACAATTTAAAGACAGGGGAGTTGGAAATGTATGTGAGGCATTTTGACCTACTACTGGGGTTAACAGAATGCATCATTTATTTGTCAGGTAGATTGACTGAAGAAAGCATAACATATGTGCAAATGCACTTGGAGAATAAAGAAGTGCCAAGTCAGCCACTGTTACAAAGAACTCTGCCTGTCACCCGTGCTGTCGCATCACTGGGACCAGAGGCTACATTTAGAGAAGGATAGCCACTGCACTGAAGGGTGGGAAAGCACAGGGACAAATAAAATGAAACATAGAGAAGGTGTTTGGGAGCAATGAAATGAATTAAAGTACATAGTAGTTAACACTTTATAAACAAGTATCTTTTTATGGGGTGCTTTCACCAACCATTATGCTGATTTGTCTTTGCTGCATGTTTGGAAATCAAGGAGCAGGACTGGGCATTCTAGGAGCACACACATCTTTTGATACTGAGCTTGCTTTCATCAGCTGTGCTTGTTACACTATATTGTCATTTTTTTCCAGTTTGTAGATTTGCCTAAGAAGTGCCAAACCTATAAAAAATGCCGTTTCATGTGCTAAATCTAATGGGTACTTTATTAAGACCTTAATGATTTGAAATGAAAAAAAAAAAGAAATGCTTTAATTTTGTTCTATTATTTGTAGAGCAAAGAAGGTCGACCTTTGTCAGCAAGGGATAAACGTGCCTTAAAGCAATTTGAAGAGAAATTACGAGCACTTAGAAGAAGAGAGAGGCACTTAGAATTCATTGAAAACAGCTGGTGGACGAAATTTTGTGGCGCTCTGCGTCCCTTGAAGGTAAATGGAGTTCTACAAAATTATGCTGTCACTCTTGTGCAAGTTTATGTAGTGCCTCTCAGAGAGAATGGGTTCTGTCACGTGACCCTTTACAAGCGTGGATTTTGGAGTCGAAGTAATCAGAGTGTCAATCATAGCGCTCTTATTTGGTAGTTTGAACAAGGTGTGGAACCACCAGCTTCATTTAGTCCTGGGTAATGCAAATATTATAACAGACTCATGAGAGAGTTTAAATGGAAGTAAAGATATGTAATACTCTTGTTAGCCTGTTTTTCGAGCTTATACTTTTGTATAAATAGGAGAGCAGCATTCCAAGTTAGAACTCAAGAATCCCAGTTGAAAGTAGTAGTTGGCTTCATTGTTAGCCAAGCTTCTAGAAGTGTGCAGAAGGTATTATGAGATGGAGAGTCAGTGCTTTGTCTTTTGGAAGCAATTGTTTGCCGACCTTAAATTCTTGGGACTGGGATTCTTGAATTTGAGTAAGTAAGACAATCATAACACAGAATATAAAGTAACAAAAGCTGCTAGCTATAGACTTCTAAATTTGCCTGTTCTATATTTGGGGGGGATTTTCAGACACCAGAGTTGTATATACAATAGTATGCAGGTTTCACTTTAAAACGTACAGTGAATATAGACTGATCTGAAGTAAAGTTAGGCAGGAAAGTATAAAATGGGTTTGACTAGAGTTGAGGATGAATGTTTGAGCCAGGGCTGGTGATTTATGCCTCTATTTACTAAGCTGAGGCTGGAGGATTTGGAGTTCAAAGTCAGTCTGAACTACACAGGGAAACTTTGACTCAAAAAATAAAATAAACAACGTTTCCATGAACTCCATGAAAGATGAGTCAGATTAGTTAGTCTTGGTGCTATTTTGACTAGGTAAAATTAGTTGAAAAAGTATTAACTACTATGGTAAACAGTTCCTCTTTTGAAATAATTTTTCAATAATATTCTAAGATTAGTTTAGTCAGTTAATTTTTCTATATTGCCTTTATAACTTTGTTAGAATGTTTGTTTGCTTATTTTTGTGGTACTGAGGATCAGATTAAGAGCCACCTGCATTTTAGCAAGTACTGTACCACTGAGCCATTCACCCAGCCCAGAATAAAATTTTTGGAAGACCTCACTCTGGTCCTTTCTCTTAGAGTAATTTATGTTCATAGCACCAAAAGTCTGCTAATAGCCTCTCTAAACCTTATTTTAATCCTAAATTCTTTATACTGTCTACTGAATATATATGACTCACTCTCTATCATCAGCTGCCTTCATTAAACATGCACATGCCATTTCACTGAACATATGTTTAGAAGAATTTTCATATCAACTTTATTAAGTGTACGGATTGATTTTGCCAAAATAGATCTGTAGATGTGTAGAACACTGACGTATTATCCCAGATCTACCTTGTGTTCTCTCCTGTTCCCTTGAGCTCAGACCAGATGACTGGTAATGTCTTTCCAGTTTAGTTTCAAGCTTTTAAGAATTTATAGAGGTGGACATAAAAAAGTGTGGTGCTTTCCTGTCTGAAGCTGTTGCTTCATTTTGACAGTGGTTCATTCATTGCTATTGCTCATTATTCTTTTGTGTTCAAATCACAATTTCTTTGTCTTGGTTATTTCCCTTTTTACTCTATAATTAGTAATGCTGATATGAATGTTTTTAAACAAATTTTGTGCAGGTTTGTGCATTCATTTTTCTCCTTTATAGTAGGTTTTATTTTTTTAAAGTCTAATGTGTAATGCTTAACTTTGTAAGAAACTGTCAAGGTGTTTTAAAAATGTTTACAGTTTTTCATCCTTTAGCAGTAGGAGATTTCTAGTTGCCTCCTGTGCCTGTCCCTCTTATGTAACATTTGTCAGAGTTACTCTAATAAGGAATAGTAATGACTCATGGTTTTGGTTCCCATTTCTCTGGTGAGTAAGGATATTGGATAATTTTATATGATTCTTGGGTTTTTGTATCTTTAAAAATATTTTATTTATTATTTTTATCTTATGTGTATGAGTATATTGCCTGAATGTGTGTAAGTGCACCCATGTCATGTAGTGCCCATGGAGATCAGAAGAAGGCATTGAATCCCCTGGAATTGGAGTTAAGGACAGTTCTTAGCCACCATGTGGGTGCTGGGAATCAAACCCAGGTCCTCTGCAAGAACAGTCAGTGCTCTTAACTGCTGAACCATCTCTCCAGCCCTGCTTTTTATATATCTTACAGAAAATGTGTGTATAAATCTTTGGCCGTTTTCTAAATTATATTTTTCTATTAAGTATATTTTAAATTGACATTTATGGGACAAACCAGGACATTTTAATACAAATGAACAATGTGTAGTCATCAGATTGGATTTTTCTACTATGAATGAGTTTCAGGAATTCTTTATGTGTTCTACATCAAAGACTTTGACAAATATATTTATTGTTAATATAATTTCCCAATCTGTGACTTAATATTTTTTTCTTAATACTGTCATTTCAACAAATATGTCTTGTGTTTTGGTGAAATCCAATTTATCTACTTGCCATTACTATTTTTGTGTTCCCAGAAATCTTTGTCTATCCAAAGGTAGGATATATTTTCTCCTACATTTTCTTCTAGAAGTCTGTAGTTTCAATCCATTGTTTCAGCTTGTGGTCTATTTTGAGTTGATTTTGTGATTTTAGGGGTGTAGTCTCCTTTTATATTGATACCTAGTTGTTCTAGCACAGGTTGTTGTCAAGATTCTCCTTCACTCTGAATTTTTTGGACAGCATTGTCAGATCACTTGGTGTATGCCCAGTCTGTCTCTGAGTTCTGAGCCCTTTGACATAAACAGCTAAGAAAATTGCAGCTGCTCTTAGAATTTTACACGTAAGGTTTTCAACTTAAAATACTAGCATGGAACTTAAAGATTAGTTTGTTATTGAAGGGAATTAAAAATAAGGACCTTAATCAAATAAGTTAAAGGTACCTTAATCCATAATTCATGTATAGTACCAAAGCATTTTTTTAAGCATACAATCTAATGTTCATCAAATACTTGAATAAACTATTTTCTGAAAGGCAGACATTACAGGGGTCATATAAATTCCGTGTAGATCATTTTATTTTAATTTAAAAATACTCTTATTTATGTGTGTGTGTGAATGTGTATCATGTGTGTGCATGTGCCCACAGAGGCCAGAAGAGGGTGTCGGATGCCTAAGAACTGGAGTTACAGGCAGTTGTGAGTCATACAGTGTGGGTGCTCGTAACTAAACCTGAATCCTCTGCAGGAGCAGCAAGTGCTTTTAATCATTAAGCCGTCTCTCCAGTCCCGCATCACCACTCTTCTTCCAATCACTTACACGATCCCAAATAGAAACATAGTATCCATTAAAAATAATTCCATTCCTTGATGACCTTTATATATGTGTCTTACAAGTTGACATCTGGATAATAGAATGTACCTTTTTTTCCAAGTGTGTGTGAATAACAGAAGTTGATCCTATTATTAATTAAGTCTTAAAGACAAGTACCAGTAAAGTAGATCTCTTATAATTCTTTGAAATAAAATGCATTAAAACTAGAAATTAAAACAAAATCAATAAATTAAGACCTTTTCTACTTCAAAATTAACCTGATAGTCAGCAAATTTTGGATGAATGGAAAGCAGAAATAAAACAGATACCAGAATTACAAAAATTAATGATGCATGCTGAGCATCCCTAATCCAAATATCTGAAGTCTGAAACTATTTAGCACTGATGGCATTCAAAAGTTTTAAGATTTTGGGCTGGGGAAATGGCTCAGTGACTAAGAGCAGTGGCTGCTCTTGCAGGGGACCTGGGTTTGGCTCCCAGCACTCACATGGTAACCATATTTCCAGTTACAGATAATTCTGACACTGTCTTCTGTTCTCCACAGGCATTTGGACATACAGGTGCACTTACATACATGCAGGCAAACACTCATACACCTGAAATATAAGTAAATAAGTAAATACTTTTTTTTAATTTCAGATTTTGTAGCATTTCCAATTTCATACTTTGGGTTAGTGATGCTTTGGTGTAACTATGCCAAAGCATGGAAAACTGCAAATCTGAACATTTCTGTCCCTAAGCACTTGGTAAGGAATACTTAAGTCTGTTGTAGAAATGTACTAGGACATTTAAAACAAGGATCAGAGAAAGTTATAACCTATAACAAGTTTATCAGTGAAAATGGAATTATAAAACCACGCAAGTCCTGCACAAGAATCTAAGCTCCCCAAAAATAATAAAAAAGTTTTTTAAAAAGCATATGGGCCTGGCATGGTGGCACATGCCTTTAATCCCAGGACTTGGGAAGCAGAGGCAGGCAGATCTCTGTGAGTTCAAGGCCACCCTGGTCTACATAGCGAGTTCCAGGACAGCTGGGACTACAGGGGGAAAAAAAAAAAAAAAAAGCATATGGAAGAGAAGCAGAAAGCAATGACTAGGCAGAAGAAAAACAGATCAATTAGTAACTTCTTTCTAGTGTATTTGTTCTAGTTAATAGACAAATCACTAGCTAATTTCATGAAAAGAGCTGGGGCGGCTTGAACAAATGTCTGATTCTAGGACTGTGCCTGGGGGGAAAAATGCAAGCTTTAAAAGCTTCTTATTCCAGAAAGCAAGGAAGTGCTCAGAGAATAGCTGGGTATAATGAGATGAACCAGGTTTTTGGGTCTCCCACTGCCTAAGTCTCTGGGCATTTAGGTAGCAAACAACGGCAGGAGCAGTATATGTAACAGTAATAATGATAGCTCAAGGAATAAAATAATCTATCTATGGGGGCTGGAGAGATGGCTCAGCGGTTAGGAACACTGGCTGTTCTTGCAGAAGACCTGGGCTCAAATCCCAGCACCCACGTGGCAGCTAACAACTGTCCGTACCTCCAGCTCCAGGGGATCTGACAGCCTCTTCTGTCCTCTGTGGGCATTGCACAGCATGGGTGCACTTACCTACATGCAGGCAATGCATGCATACACATAAAAATAATAAATAAAAAATATTTTAAAA